TGTGTTGGCTGCTAATCTCCAGGGCAAACTAATGACTTCAACCTAACAATGACAACTTACCACATCCCTGTGGGTTGTGAACAAAAATGGCCATTGTGCACATCAATTAACTTTCACTATTGTGTCATGATAAGCGACAGTTTATTACACACTGAGAAGTAGGACTGATGTCCAAATTTAAAGCCTTGTTTTCCTGTTACTATGATGTTGATCAATGTGAGCAATTTGTCTAATGCTCAGCTTGTGTACAACTGTAAAGAAGACAAAGCAAAAGAGGAGTAATGTTGTTGGTGTAGCTAGGTCGAACTGAGACGGCATAAACAGGCAGTAAACCACAAAACACTTGGTTGCCATTGTCTATTTATATCTTTTTCTGGACCTCGCTAGTTAACAACATTAAACATGACTGATACTTTTGTCTATCACAAAATGGCAGGAGTTTGTGCCTCTGTAACGGCCTAATCTCACACGGTGCCCACCATGCCTCCAATAGCAGTTAGTCTGAGACTGGAGGCATGGTGGCTAATGTTAGTGGTTTAACTAACATTAAATATAACAAAAAGGTGAGATATCTGACAACAATGATGAACTTCACCTCCATCAACCGCCAAGTTCTCCCAAGATATTAACATGATTTGAGATATTATTTCCACATACTGAATAAAACATTCAGGTCATTTTGCAATTTTTAGTCATTATACATGCCAGAAAGGAGGAGCAGACCAAGGATCTGATCATTGACTAATGGCTTGCAATTGGGAAGTTGTTAACCAATGAGCAAGCAGCTTCACAGTCAGAGCCGCCATATTTGGTTTCAAAACACAAAGCTGTTGTTGCCAAAAAACACTCATCTTAACGCTTCAGAACAAGTGCTCACAAACCTATAGATGGCATTATGGTGGCTATATCCATCTTTTATACCATCAATGTTTAAATTTAGAATATTACAAGAATATTGATATTATTATATATTGCTGATAATAATGTTGCAATATAATGTTGTAAATATGATAAACCATCAGCAACTCTGGCAAGTTACCGCCAACAGGCAAGTCAATTTGTTACATCACGTCTCCTTTCTCAAGCTGTCAAACTCAATTCTGTTGTCATCACTCTGGTCCATTAATTTGCTTGCCCACCGTCTGCAAGCCAGTTAGCTTTCTCTGTTCTCTGTGCCTTAATTCTGTGCTCCTCTGTCATTCTACCTTTCAGACTCTCATTCATGCCACCTGCCTCCCTATCTACACCTCATCATCTCTCCAGTCACTAGTATCAAGGCCCCAGGAGGTCCTGTCCTGCTTCCTACCATTGTTGGACTCCACTCTGCTGCGTAGCTTTATCACATTCTAATTATCAAATAGTTTATTACCCAAACTCATTGTTCCTTTAAAAAATAGTTTTCAGTTGTTTCAAAACATCCTATTTATTCATTGTTTAAGTCTACAAATAATCAAACATTGGCGATAACTAATCTCCAATATACACCAATCCAACTTTTTCCAGTTCTGTACTGATGATATTGGCACTTTGGCTTCAGGTATCTGCTGATACTAAATACTGAAATCATACCACAAATAAATTAATAAGCCTAATTTATCACTGTTCTCATTAGTCGCTTTTTTTATGATAAGCAACAGACTCATTTAACATCTCTTTGTAAATTAGCAGTTTAAAACCTAATATAGAATGCAGAAAAAATCACAAAAAATCTAAATAAATTTGTCCCAATTTCAGCCTCTACTTATCTCAGTTTGAGAGTTTTTAGTGTGCAGCTCTTCACATCTAAGAAAAGTAAAACAAAGACAATGCTAACTGAGTTGACAAAAGAGAGAAAGGAAAACACTGTTGGTGCTTTTCATTTGTGTCAATGCACTTTGCAGTTCATTCAAAACTACTTGAAACATGCAAAAACAAGCTGTAAGCCTAGCAGGTGTGAAAGACCTGCAAACTTGAAAAATGGGCAGTTAAAAAAAGCAAACGAATTCAAAGACAAAAAAACATAACAAAACATTTATCAAATTTGAAAGGCTCAAAAGAAATGACAAGCACATCCGTGGCCAGGTGAGGCCAGAACCCTGAGACTCAATGACACATTAAGCAGATAAAAGAAGTGTTGTACTTGCATTAGCTGTTTAATTAAACTCTCAATAAGAAGTCCAAAGAGATCTAAAAAGAGGCCTTTATTATGCTGACAAACCAAAATAAACCTGTCAATCTATTGGGTTCTCAAAAATAACAGTAAACAGGCTAAACAGTTAATACTTTTGTTAAGCCTCTTGAACTAAAACGGAAAATTTGTAAATAATAATAATAATAATAATAATAATAATAATAATAATAACAACAACAACAACAACAATATAAGAACAGATATAAGTTAAAGTACTTCTTATCTTGGCCTGAATGTATTACTTTAGTGAGTGAGGGTTTATAACCGTCCTGCAATCAACCCTAACTTCATGAATGTTGTGATGTTCAGTATTACAAACCACCAACATGAGTAATACAGAGAGGTATATTAAGGCTAACTTCACTGATGTGAATAAGACAGGAAAAACACTAAGCAAACACAGGTATAGCTGAACAGCTTCAACACCTGCGAGACAACATTTGGGCATCATAATAACTTTGAAAAGGATTTATTAAAGGTTTATTTTATTAGCATGTCCTGGTAACTGGCAGCCTATGAAAATGATTATTTTTCCTTTTGCCTCCTTGACTGTTAACAGTTGAGAGACAAACATAACAGACTTGCACCTAAACCACCAGACACCCTTGCAGGTATACTGTCAGAGATTGTAGTTCATCCATTTATTGATTTACTCTATCAGCTTCCCATTCACCCATCCAATATAATCCCATCATCCATTCACCAATCAGATCATCCGCCCATATTCTCTTTACACGCACCTCAACCAGAAGCTGCCTTCCAAGGTCAGGATTACAACTGCAGGAAAATGGAGGCACCAGCACTTAATTCAGAATTCATCTAACATGTGTTGCACTCATTTGTGTATTGATATTGCGCACAACAATAAACATCATTAGCAGTTTTAGTGTATGTTTGTAGCTTGTTAAAATAAAAGGGGGCTTTGTTCTAAAATGACTGGTGACCACACCTAATCTGTTTCTGTTGGCCAAATGATGCCAAATGATGATGAGACAGAATCCCCACCAGTGATGGGAATAATGTTGATGGAGTGATGGGAATAACGTTGATGTGATGGGGAAAAAAGTAACGCCGTTACTTGTAACGGCGTTACTTTTTTCAGTAACGAGTAATCTAACTAATTACTATTTCTATCGTTACAACAGCGTTACCGTTACTAACAAGAAAATGCGGTGCGGTCGCGTTACTATTTTTCAACAAACAGACGGTTGAAGCTGTCTTCAGCTTACCGCACCTTATATCAGTTGCATGGAAGTAGCTGTCTATGTAAGTAATCTGGGCGCTACAACTTTAAGCAGCTGCGCGCGGTCCCGCGGACGGCAATCACTTTCTGCCCGACGATCACTTTTTTGCACAACACCTGGAGCTCAGGGGGGCAAAACAATCGCATGAGTGCTGCTGTTTGACTGAGGAAGAATAAAGTAGTCGTGGTAAGCCAATCACATGACCCGTTCAAGATGACAAAGCAACAAGGTCATATATACCAGTTTTTAAATTGTGTTGATAGGCCACGTAAAACCAGAGTCATGATAAACAATATATACGAGTGTTTTTTTCCTGAATAATTTCGTCACGTTTACTGTTTAAGGACATCACTAGCAAGCACTCTCTGCATATGCCCAAAAAAAAACAAAAACAGCCCTTTCGTGTTGGTGGAAAAATACACCATGTCAACCAATAAAAAAATAATATGGCAACATGACATTTGGTTGTTTAGGAAGAGGGGGAGAATTTAGGAGTGACCACGAGAGAGAGAGAAAGAAAGACAGCAGAAAAAGAGAGAGAGAGTTTTGAGATGTGAGAGATTTGTGATGTTTAGAGTGTGTTTGGAGTGTGTAGTTAATGTGTTGTCCTGTGTAGTTAGCGTGTAGTGTTGTGGATAGTTTTGTGTTGTGTGTCAGAACAATGAGGCGACTACGGTCTCCAGATAAAAAAACAGGATGAGTGATACACCTGCTGCTATCAGACCTGCAGGTATCAGGCTTGTGATATTCTCCTTTACAGTGGACAGAAATTATTTTTTTGGGAGTGGCACAAATAATTTATGTAGCATCCTATTGAATGCAGAACACCTGATTGTTATGTAAATAGTTTGAAATGGTTATTAAAAAAATGGGGTAAAAGGTAAATGGCTGCAAATAACTTTGTTGTGCATGTGATTTTAAAATTGACAATTTATATTTACATTTAAAGTTATGAAATATGATTCATTAAACATGTTTGTGGTTGTTACAGTAAAAAAATATAACTTTTTTCTACTCGGATTTTATGTTTTTTGTCTGATTTTAGATCAATTGTGTTAATACAGTATGTCAAAATGAAAACATAACTGTAAATTCAGACACACGAGGTTGTGCTGAGACGGATGATACCAAACAAGGCAAAGTAAATCATTTTTAAAGGTGAAATGTAGAGGTAAAATCAAAAGTGGTTAAAATGGCCAATTATACCCTGGACCCCACAGGGTTAAACTTTTTTTTTTATAATGCAATAGTTATTTTTAAAGTAATTAATTACTTTTAGAATCTTGTAACTCAGTTACTAACTCAGTGACTTTTTTGAAGAAGTAACTAGTAACTATAATTAATTACTTTTTCAAAGTAACTTGCCCAACACTGATCCCCACTGATGTGCTGGTGCCTGTGTTTGACTCCAATCAAGAGTACAATCTCATTCATCCTCCATCTTCTGCTCTATAAATTCATCCAACCAGCAACCAGCTACTCATCCACTGTACCATTCCTCCACCAGCCCATTCATCCATATAGGCACGTCTTCTTTTGTTATCAATTCTTCCCACTGAACCATTTCTACACCCATGTCTGCTCACCATCAGTGGTATTGGACTGTAGTCGCCGGCAGAGACCCTCTGTGTCTCCATAGCTGTCCTGTATCTTCTGTAGGGCCTCAGCCCCTCGGAGCTCCATCAGCTCCCTGAGCTCCTTCACTGTGACCCCAAAGTCTCCCCCTGCATGGCTGCCATCTGCCCTTCCTCCTCCTCCACCCCCACCTCGTGTCCCTTTGGGGTAAAACTCCACAGCGCTGTTTGCCATTTCACCCATTGTGGCTGTTGTTGACATGTCAGTAAAAGGTTTTGTGTGTGTGTGATTTTCTTTCTCTCCGTTGTCTACTCAGGCCCCCTTTGGTTTGGATTCTGGAGGGTTGTTCATGTGCTCAACAATCCTGTTTCTGACTAAATGTTTTATTCAAAAATGATTTTATATCAGGGTAATATGTATTTTTTTCACTTTAATGTCTTGGCAATAGTCTCTCACTGCTCCTTTAAATCTCCATAACTGAAGAAGGCTGAAGAGGAGGATGAGGGGGTGAAGGACAGCGAGCAGGGCCACTTCAGAAGCGTGACATCTGAATGAATCCAGTTTTCTCTTCTGTCGTCTCCTCTGCGACTCAACTCTTTCCTTGTTTCTGTCCCCCTCCCTCCAGAGTCACGGCCAGTCCATGGACAGATGCAGGTACGGTCAGGTGGACCAGCTGTTGGGCTACTGATGGGGATGAAGGGATGATGAATGGATGGAGAGAGGGGCGATCAAGGCAAATAAGAGACAGGATGTGGAGCCAGTTCAGAGGTAGCTACACCAGGACCTAAGAGAGAGAGAGAGAGAGAGAGAGAGAGAGAGAGAGAGAGAGAGAGAGAGAGAGAGAGAGAGAGAGAGAGAGAAATTACCAGCCTGTTCTACCAGTCTCAGTCATTAAGATTACATCAAATCCTTTCTCGGGGCAAGTCGGCAGAGTCAGATGCAAAACTGGTGCTTTCTATGCAATAGTTAAAAATGAAAGCATTAATCTTAACATAAATAAATGTACAAAGAGGAAAAAGTCATAATAAAACCCTGAAACACACAAACCAAAGATCATCACCCATATAGTCATTAACTTTTTGGCAACTTAGGAGTAGCAAGCAAGGTCAAAACACAACATTATATTTATTATATTAAACAGTGTCTTACTTTGACAGCCAGCTCACAGTGAACAGCATTAGCAGTAAGTTCATTTTCAGAATTTTTAGTTTTGTCCCCAGACATTGAGAAGAGTAACTAAAGTCTCTTAAGCTGCTAAATGCACAACAGTTTTTTGTTACAATTTTTCTTTTTCAATGATGAGAGCAATGAGAGTAAATCCAAGAAGCAGTAGAGATAAACCAGAAACAAGACAAGAAACTAAAAAATGTATTGTATTCTATAAAAATCTTAAGTTACCCTTTCTTTCTTTATATTTTGCTTCCAAGGAACTTTCACGTCATTTTTCAAAGTGGTCTATTCTTTCCCTTTTCGTTGTTGTTAAACACTTATGAATCAATCAAGCATAAAAACACAGCTAACTCAAGGATTCAAGCAGTGCTGTCTTTACATGTCACAGACAACTTAGCAGAGACAATTGCAAATTGTATCTTTGGGCACTTTGTTACTAGCAGCCTGTGAACATAATTTGTTCTCATTTCTTTAGTTAAATCAACAAAAAAGAAATAAGAGAAATAATACAAGCAAGCACTTGGTGACAGTGGGACGGAAAAGCTCCCTTTTTACAGGAAGAAACCTCAGGGAGGGTCAGCCATCTGCCACAACTGGTTGGGAGTGAGGGGAGGAAGACAAAAGACACCCTGTGGTAGAGAGCCAGAGAATAATAGTAATTAATGATTAAATGTAAAGTTGTGTATAAACATATATAGAGTGAAAAGCAGGATTAAAAAGAAACACTCAGAGCATCATGTGACAATCCCAGCAGCCCAAGCTTATTGCAGCGTGACTAAGGGAGGATTCAGGGTCACCTGATCCTACCATAATTATATGCTTTAGCAAAAAGGATAGTTTTAAGCCAAATCTTTAAAGCAGAGAGGGTGCCTATCTCCCAAATTTAACCTGGGAGCTGTTCCCACAAAAAAGTTTCAAGTGTCTGCGTTGCAAAAGCAACACAACATCTTACTCAACATTCTGAAAACTCTCCCATTCTGCAATAACATGCATGCACAAAGGTCAAGGAAGACAACAGAAATTGTCCGACATCACCTCAGACATCCATAAAAAGGAGTCTGTACAGATCATAGCATTTAGCTCGCAAAGATGAACGGCCTTCCTGCCTTCTGCAATTGTTATTGTGAACAATTTTAATTTTACTCATATCCATCATGCAGGCACAATGAATGGAGTGAGATTTTAAATTTTGCTTTAAGGACATGTGTATCTAAGGATACGCTTAGGTCAGACACATTATGTATCTGCAATAAATAGAAGTGTAGCACAACTTAAAACTTAAAGAATTCTATGTTGATTTAATTTAGTGTTAATTTATAATTTCTAGGGATGCACCAATACCGATACTGGTATCGGGTATCGGGGCCGATACTGTAAAATGTGTGTGTACTCATACTCGTAAAAGTTAACCGATACCATGAACCAATACCAACTTATTTCATTAATCAGAGGGTGGCTTGTCATTTCTGTTGTAGTTTTTTAGATTG